CAAATGTTTGTAAAAAAATTTGTACAAACAGTGCTTAAATGTGAAAATCTTTATGAACAAGTAAACAATACACATATTTTGAAAGGAATTGCCAGAAAATGGAAAAAAATTACCAAGGAAAGTGCGAGGAACCACCCCAGGGAATTCCAGATGATCATACTATTATCAGAAAGGATAAAAAAGTATCAATTGAGTCCAATAATATACTAATTAACAAAGCCTACGAAGTTAACAACACAAAATAAACTCACATTGTCTAGGTTAGTCCGGTGATAGAGAATATCGTGCATTGCCTTAAAGAAACACAGATAAGTAATAAATAAATAAAAATAATCAAACCATAAACAAAATAAGCAAACAAATTGAGGAAGAAGAAGAGAGAGACCTGAACATTGAAACTCTCTTCGACCTTTGTGTAAGGAACGGTGAGAACGTATAAAGCAGCTATTGATGCCAACAGCAAATCGTAACCATATCGCTGTAGAAAAGTCTCCGATTTCGAATTGGAAGCCATTGTTGTTCGGTTTGTTGCAGAGTGAACTCTCTATACCAGAGACTAGAAGAACACGAAATGGGCTTGTGGGCCTTTCATAATAAATATGCTCTCTGCTCCTACAACTAAGCTATTTCTGACTGCACCCCCATAATTACTAATTGCACCTACAATAGGAAAAGACTCACCAACTCAACATGTTACTGCACATCACCACCGTCAATGTTGTTGCCGCTATCGCTGTCACCGCCACTGCACTGCAGTTGCAGAGTTAGAAACGCTGCAGAGAAGATGAAAGAAAATGCGGCGTTCCATAAAGTTCTTTCCAAAATGTATTTTGTGTTCTGGAAGGGTGTTCTGAAAAATTCATTGTGAAAAGCATTATGTCCATTCTAGAAAGTTCATTCTGAAAATCTCATTCCAAAAGGTGTATTCCAAAATGTATTTCAAGCATTTTGAACATTCTGTTTCGGAAATTTTGTTTAGGAGACCTTGTTATGAAGATTTCGAAAAGCTTTCTGCAAAACGTTTTTGAAACTTGTATTCTGGAAGTCACTTTTACAAAGAGGAAAATGGTCAATTTGAAAATTGGAGTGGGTGAGTGAAGAAATTGTGGGGCTGCAGGAAGTCAGATTCCTTGTACTAATAATTATGGGTTTTGAAAGGAGAATTTCTTCATGCACCACATAATTTAAACCTTCACTTTCATAAGTTTAAAAATTGTAAATTTAACTAAATTCATTAGGTATTGATTGTGTTGGGTTAGAGTGTTGTATACATATGGGAAGGTTCCGGTATGGTAGTACTCACTCGTTTAGGTTCGTTCTGCACTTGACCTATAAAATGTGAATCGGGTTGGTTTATTCTATTTTGAAAATGTAAGTTTAATTGTCTTACATAAGTCTTGGCCTACGAGCTGACCTACAATTTTTAAAAAATACATTATGTGATAAAGTTTTCAATGTTCTACGAATGGGGAAATATGTTCACAAAATTAAGCAAAGATTTTGGATAGTTGAATGGTAAATTGATAGTACATCATTTTCAACAACTTTGAAATTTGATATATGTGATGAATTCTTGATATTTTATCACATTCAGGTATACATAAACGTATATCCACTAATACAAGAATTTAGAACGTATATCCAAAAGTCCATAAGGAAGAAAAGTAACCAACATACACAAGTATAAGAAAAACGTGATTTTATGCAAGTGGCGAGCTGGCTCGCCCTACCTCGTGCTTAGAGCTGTCAATTTGATCCATGATTCCGGAGTTAGCCCTAATCCACTCTTGAAAAGGCTCTCTCTTAAAAAGTCCCTCAAATTGGGGCCAAAAAAAAGCATCAGTCCCCAAAGCCCCCTCTCAAGGGGATTAGGGTCAGGGTTAAGGTGGATTTAGCCCACTAAAATTTTTTTGGAAAGTAAACTTCAATATTCTCATAATAACTATTAAAAGTACTAAATTTTATATTCATGTAATTGATTTCTTATTTCAAATTATTAAATAAAATTAATTAATTATAGTATAATAGAATATTTAATATTCAAAATAACCACTTTTTTAAATAATTAAAAACAATTGCAAATCACACACTTAATTTTATATAACTAAATAGTATTACAATTTTTTTTACTAAAATATTATAAAAATGCTTTATTTTGTTGTCAATTTTAATAAAATTATGTCTTATTATGTTGCATACACCAATTATTAGAAAATTATATATAATTAGTAATATCAAAATAACTCCAAAGAGAGATAATAACCTATTAATTTGATTTAATATTTGCACTGCTTTTACAGTACTTAAAAAGAATCACTATTTTGTTTCCTCGACTTCTAAAATATCACTCAATCTGCTTTTAATTATTTAAAATTAAAAATAATTCAAAAATTTATTATCTAAAATTTTTGAATCAAAAATAGTATTAATATTTTATGTGTAAATTAAACTTATGTTTTATTTTGTCTTTTTCTCTTTGATAATATTTTCTCAAAATCACCATAAGATATATTATAAAAAGAAAGTTAATTTCTTAAAAATTTATAAAAAAAATGAAAATTTTAAATAGACCTAAAATACTAAAGAATGACAAATGTTATAGTGCTTCAATTCTTCTTTGACTAACACATTAAATAATTTATTTTTAACTTTCAATTAGAACACATAACATAAATATATGTTTATGTTTATGACATTTAAAATGTAAACATTTTGAGTAAATAGAACGACGAGATTGAATCCTATGGGCGAATACAACTAAAGCCTGCACAAGGTTTATGAATTTTTTCTTTTTACTTATTATTTATGTTATGAGCATGATTTGTTGAGTATAAAATGAAAAAGAAAATAATTTATATTTAATTTATTTTTCAATAGCTTTCTAAGAAAATAAAGAAGCCTTATTTTTTTTTTAAATTAAGAGCTTCAATTAGATAAAATCTTCTCTTAAATTTCAATTTGGATAATTTTAGATAGAAAGTTAATTTCTGATTTATAACCTAAAAAAATGAAATTAAATATTTAAATTCCAAATTTATAAAATGATCCTTTAATTATATACTTAGAGAATATAACTCAATAAATATTGTCATTTTGATTTTGTTTCTTGATTCTAGAACTCTCCTCCTATAAAAATTTCAATTTATATTCTATAGTAACTATTTTTGTAATAAATTAAGAGTTAATTATATTTTTTTCTTGTATTCAAAATGAACATTTTTTCTAAGAAAAAGGTCCGTGGGTTGGCCCTAACCCACAGGGCTTTTGAAGATATTTTGGCCCTGTGAACTTTTTCTACGGGGGGCTTTTTGGTCCTATGAATTTTTCTGACCCCAACCCACGTGGGTTAGGACTAAACCATGTAAGGGGGCCAAATTGACAGGTATACTCGTGCTAAGCATGCACAAGCTACAAGTAATATGAGTTGGTAAGCCTACAATCCTAGCCTACCTAGCATTTTTTTGTGCGAGTTTGCAATCAGCCTACGCGACTTGTCTCACTTTGTCATCCCTATCTCAAATCCATAATTGCATTCTGGATTGTTCAATTTGAAATGCATTGAAAAATACATGTTAAATTGTGCAATTTGAAAACTTATTGAAATAAGCAATCTAGACTAAACTTACAAAGCAACAAAAATTCAAATAGTTACAAAGATGAAGCTCTTCAACCAACATGAGGGGCAATGGGTGTTAAAGGAAATTGTTGACAATGGTAAAGTGTTACAATAATGAGTCTAAAACAAAAATTCAAGGAAGAACATAGGAAGAGGTGTATGGCTAATGTAAAAAGAAGAAAATAAAGTGAGAAAAATGATGACAAATTGGTTATTTCAACGTCTCGTTGAGATGTAAGAAAGGAAAAACATATTTTGACACAATTTTTTTATAACATTTTAACATAATACACGTGTCATTTTCTCATTAGTTCATTAATGTGTCAAAATATTGTCAAAAAATGTGTATTAACATTGTAAGAAAAAATGACCTATACGTGTTTCTTACACTACATTTAGGATAATGATACTTTGACAACATTTTAACACATCTACGTGTCATTCTGTGATTCCTCCATGTTATTGTTTATGATAATTGATTGTGGAGTAATTTTGGACCAATTATAGAATGACACGTAGATGGTGTTAAAATGTTGTCAAAAAAATGTTGTCAACGTATCATTATCCCTACATTTATATCTTCTTATACTTCAGAAAAGTCTAAACTAACCCTTTCAGTTTTGCCATTTTGTTATAGTGTTGTTTGCACTTTTGATTTTGTATAGAATAATTTTATTGATGGATTTATAAAAATTTTAAATTCTCGGGTAACATCACAAACAAATCAATTTCAAAACAAAAATTTAATTTTTGTGCCATGAATTATACAATTTAAAAATTTGTCTATTATGAATCACACAATTTAAAAATGATTTATAAATTACACAATTCATAATAAAATAATGCATAACCTTTTTTTGTAATTGTAGAATTTAAAAGTCTCTTTTAAATTACATAATTGACAAAAGATTTCTATATTACACAAATTGTAATTTACTTTTGCGTAATAATCTTGATTATTCCATTCGAAGTAAATTATACAATTTTTTTAGAACAATATATCAGTAATCTCATGATAAAAATTGATTGGTCAACTCTATTATTTCATAGATTTGTAATGGAGAAAAACACAGTCATGACTTATTTGAATCAAAGTACTAGTATAACAAAGGTAGCAAAATACACTTACGAAACCAGTATCAGCATGCATATTATAAAACAAACTTCTAAAGAAAAATGAAAATAAGTAATGAGTAAAATATGTTTTTCATTTTCAAAAATTATGTTTTATCCCTCTATTTATGCAAATCATGTAAAATATCTTTCAAGGGCACACGTAAAATATTTACTATATGAGAAATAAAATTATATAATAAATTATAGTATAATCTTTACGTATCCGACCTAATATAATAAAATAAAATTTCACGTGCATTATCCTGCCTAATAATTTTTTTTTTCAAACAAAACAAGGCTAAATATTTGCAGCCATTGTTGGCCTTAACAAGGTTGCCCCAAAAACGCGATAATGTTCAGCGCGCGTCTAACAAACGCGGCGACGCCTCCATGCTTCAAATATTCTTCTGAAATTCAATCCTCCGTTTCACTCCCTCTCTCTCTTCACCCTCACTCGTTCATTCTAAACTCCGCCACGCGCCACACTCTCTCACTCTTCACGCCACAAAACCACGCGCCTCCCTTGCAGCCGCCGCGTTCGGATGACGCCCCTCCCAATGAGACGCGTCTGAACAATCTATACCTTAAGCGCGGGAAAACCGAGTTCGCACGCCAAGTGTTTGATAATATTCCCAAACGAGACGTCAAGGCATGGAAGTTTAGTACTATGATTGCCAGGTTTGCGCGCAATGGCATGATAAAAGAAGTTTTGGACTATACTAGGTTGATGTTGGTGGAAGGAATAAACCCAAATTTGGTTGTAATGACAGTTATTCTTGATGGTATAGGGAAAGTTGGTGCACGAAACTTAGGTAGAGAAGCACATGGCTTTGTGGTGAAGAATATGTATTACAAGGAATTGTCGATTCTATCAGCATTGATCGATATGTATCGCAAGTTTGGCGATGTTGGGTCGGGGAGTCGAGTTTTGTTTAGTGTGATGAAGAGGAAGGGAGATTTTTGGATCGGATTGGTTTCGGGGAGACTTGAGGTTCAAATGAGGTCTGTGATTCGGTTGAAGAGGTTCCGGCCAGGTGCTGCTGCGGTTGCCTCTCTACTTCCCATTTGTGCACAGTTGAGGGCTCTGAAGCAAGGGAAGGAGATTCATGCTTATTCTTTGAGACATTGGCTTCTGCCTAATGTGCCGATAATGTCTTCTTTGATGGTGTTGTACTCTAAGTGCGGTGTGATTGAGTATTCCATCAGACTTTTTGATGAAATGGAGAGGAAGAATGTGGTTTCTTGGACTGCCATGATTGATTCATACATTGGGAATGGGCGTGTGTGTGAAGCTCTTGGTGTGATGAGGTCAATGGCATGGACGACCGAGCATAAGCCGGATACTGTCACCGTGGCTAGGATGCTACATGTGTGTGGGGAGCTGAAAGTTTTAAGGCTTGGGAAGGAAGTTCATGGACAAGTGTTGAAAAGGGGTTTTGCATCAGTCCATTATGTTGCTGCGGGAGTCATTGATATGTATGGGATTTGTGGAGATGTTGATAAAGCAAAGTTGGTATTTAGTCTGGTTCCTGATAAAGGTTCAACGGCATGGAGTGCTCTTATTAGGGCCTATGGGCATAAGGAATGGTATAAGGAGGCAATAGATATTTTTTATGACATGATTTCAAATGGTATTACTCCGAATCGCTTCACTTTTGAAGCTGTTCTATCTATATGTGATAGGGCTGGGTATGTTGAAGATTCTTTTAGAATCTTTGATTTGATTTCGAGGTATAAAATTGAAGCATCCAAAGAACACTGCACTTGCATGATTCGACTCCTTACCCGCTATGGTAAACTAGACGAGGCTCAAAGATATTTAGAAATGAGTTATTCCTTATAGCTGAGGACAAGAGATAATAGGACTTTCTGTGAATGTTTCTATAGATTGTTAACATTTTTAGGCTATGCTTATTATTGACTTACCTAACAGCTGTTAACTCAGCAAAACCTGTTTAATATAAGCAATGACCACAAATGCGGGGAGTACTTGAATACCTTCCATCTGAAAGGGAGTCCTCTTTCCCGCAGCAGGCAGGTACTTGCAAAAGAGATTTTAGTGCCTATATAAATAATGTTTCTTATTAGATAAATAAAAAATATTGTTAATTCTATATATTACGTTACTCAATTACAATCAATAATTAAAATTAATTTAATTTGTATAGTGTTCATCATTCTGTTTTCTCATCCATCATTTGTGATGGTTCTATCTGTGCATTGGGTACAAAGGCAGTGCACTACTTCGTTAGCTCTTCCTCGTGCACTCTGATCTCGATGTTTTAGCTTTGTTGCAGAAAATGTTCAGAATTTTGGGTTCAGCTAGCAACCACCAAAAGAGGTCTTTATAGCTTCTCTGAAAGAAATTACCACCGGGTGATTATCTTTCGGAGCACTGCTTTGTTTCATTTACCTCATTTTTGTTGAATTTGGATCTTACGAGGTTGTATAATTTGCTGGCCTAACATTTTCATGCCCAGGATGCAAGATGCCACTGCTGACGATTGATTTTTTGTTCGTTGATGGACTTCTCAATGGTATTACCTGTTAACTAATTTGCTCTGGCTTTGGAATCTGAGCAATATGAGTGTAGTTTTTCAAGTCACGGTGTTCGAATTTGAAGTTTAGTTCTCGCCAGCAGGATCATACGGCGCAATATAGTGTAGATGATCTCATGATCATATAAAGCGTCATGTTAACAGTGCTATGCATCAACATGCCGATGGCAGAATTGGTTATATTGTTATGTTGCAAGGATATTTTCTGCTATTACCTTTAATTTTTGGAATTTACGTGCAAATGAGTTGCTTCATTCATTGTATTGACTTATTGTACTACTACTACACAAAGAGGCAAATTCCCAAATTCATTCACGATTTAGGACCATTTGCCATTTTACAGCTAATCGTGTTGAAAGTTATGACTCTGGACCATATCCAACATTTAGGTTCTCCATTTGTTCATGTTCTGTAGAACAATAACTTATGCAACTTGATGAACTTTGATTAATGCAGTGTAAGTTAGGGTTTGCCCCTGTTTATCTCCTTTAAACAAGCACTGTAGAGGATTTTATTAACCCTAAAGACCACATTATATTATTAGCCAAAGCTAACACTTAAGGCACTAATTTTTCACGAACCCAAACAACTCACAGCAAAAACTCAGAAACAGCGTTGACCTAAAAACCTCTCATAATCAATCAAAACAACACTCCCACAAAGCCACCCATTTTCATTTCAACACAAAATCCAAAAGAAATTGAAACGAAGAAGATGCATCTTTATGTAGATTAAACCCGAAAAGTTGAAAACCCAGATGCATGTCCACATGGAAACGAACCCACAACAAGAAAAAGAAGCATATGTATGTGAAAACAAGTCGAAATTAGCAGCAACCAACCATGGTTAAAATTTGACTTGAAATAAAAGGCCTAACACTAGTGGGTAAGCAATAACATAGCATTTGTAGTGATTGATTACACACCAAATAAAAAACCCTTCTTTCTTGGATCCCTGGTTTCATCCCACCAAACGGTGTCGTAAAGCTGTTAGAGATGTGTTATTCATGAGTCCTTGGAGGAAGGCGTGACCTGATCGGAGGACTTGGTGGTGGCGGTGGCGGTGGCGGGAGGAGGAGGATCGCGGCGGAAGCGGGTAGCCAAGATGTTTATGAGACTGTAGAAGTGGTAGAACAGCTGCGCACTAACCAGCAGCACCAAGATAAAAACGATGAAGTCCATTTTCGAAGAAGAGGAACGAGAATATGCTACTATCGATGGAAGACGAAAGGGAACAGAGGACGAAGATGGCATGGAAAAGCACGAAGCTTCCTGTAAGCTTTTTTTATTAGTGAAATTACATAATGGGGACTCTTTTTCTTATAATATTTCTTCGTCTAGTGCGTTAAATCCACGGTGCTTTTTTTAATTTAAAAATGAAAATAAAATAATTAAAAATTTAATTATTTTAAGGGTTAAATATATTTTTTATTTTTTTAATTCAGTAAAAATTATATTTTTTGAAATTTTAGTTTAATTTAATTTTTTAATTTTAAAAATATGTAAATTTAATTTTTTAATTAAATTTGGTTAAATTTATGAAATATTTTTAAAATATTTTATAATATCTGAATTATTTATACGGTTTGATAATTATTTTTAATATTAATTAAGAAATACATTTAAAAATTTAAATAAATTTAATAAAATTTTGTTATAAAAACTAAATTTACTTAATTTTAAAATTAAGAAATTAAATTAAATAAATATTTAAAAAATAAACTAATTATAATTTTCATCCTATATGACTCTTATTTTAATTTATCTAATTAAAAATTAATTAATTAATTTAAAACTGATCCGTTTTTACAAATTAAAAAATAACAAGCTAAAATAGACTAATTTTATGTTACTTTCATTTCTAAAATAATTCTTAATTATTATATTTAAATATTATTCTAATTTTATTATGATTACGTAAATAATTATATTATAATTAATTAAAGACCTTTATGCAATCAAGAAATTAGTGAGGAGGAAATATAAACTTAAGATTGAAAAATAGTAACTTAATCCTATTTTTAAGATTTATGATCTTAAATTTTTTATAATTTTCTTATAGCATAGTAGAATGATTTAAAAGAGTTGCTTTATATATTAAAGCTTTAAATTTACAATCTTGACCATAATTTTTGCATTAAAAATTTCCTTTAAGTAATTCAATGACAATAATATCTTTCATCTTCATTTTAGAAAGAAAAAAAAAATCTTAATCATCATACTATTAGTTTTTTCCACACCTTTATTTCCAATACCCTTGACAACAAGGTCAAGGTCTCCTTGTAGATGTCATATAAATCTTTGTATTGCTATTTGTTAGTCTTCAAGTAAAGATCCAAAATAGGGTTTTTAAAGCATTTTCGACAGGAGGTTATAAGATGACTCATCCACACATAATGGTAGATATAAACTAATAGTGTCACGAAGTAAATATAAAATAATTCTTAATTATCCTATATTATGTTTCCAAAAAGGGTGTTGCTCCCTCCACCACCACACATTTCTCCCTTCACCTCCCATTTACTATTTTGCCCCTAAGTAAAATTTTAATTTTAGGGTTATTTTTTAATTTTACCCATTCACAACCTATTCCACTAATAACCTATTCTAGTGTCCCGTACATGAGTAAAATATTTTTCTTTCATTTTAACATTATATTTCTTCTTCTCTTTCTTTTACAAGTTGCAAAGGTTGATGGTGGTGGAAAGAATGATCAAGCAGTCTCCCTCTCGTGGTGCAGTGTCGCTCTCGTAGTGCAGTGTGTGGAGTGGTGTTGTGTGTTGCTTCCTCAAGGTGTGTATTCAAATAAACCTTCAAATAAAATCCTAAAATAAAAAACGTAACCTTTAAGACATCCTTCAACGGATGTCAAAATCCTTCAACGGATGTCAAAATCCTTCAACGGATGTCAAAATGCTTCAACGGATCGTTGAAAGATTTTGACATCCGTTGAAGGATGTCACCTCCGTTTAAAAGTTACGTTTTTTATTTAAGGGTTTCTTTTATTAGTTTATTCTTTATTTTAGAAATATTTTAATAATTTAATTTAAATGTTTTAATTTATTATTTTTGAATATATTTTTAATGTATTTTAATAATGTAAGGAAAATGAAGAAGAAAGAAACGGAGGAGGAGAAGTGAAACGGAGAAAACAGATTGGATTGCAGAGTAAAACGAAAGACAAATTATTAAACGAAAATGAGAGATGGAAAGATTGAGTGCAGGAGTAAAGTAGGAGAACTAGGTTTGAAATAAATTAAAATAGTAAAAATAAAAAATTTTAATCTGAAGATATAATTGGAATTAAAATAAACTGGGGAGGTGGAGGGAAAAATATGTGGTGGTGGAGGGAGCAACGCCCTTCCAAAAATGGTCATGATAATGTCATATTCCCGAAATATAAAGTGTATTGGAGATTTTTTTTATTCAAAATATAGAATTATGATTTCAAATATGATATTATTAAAGTGCAATCCAAATTTCTTGATTCAAAATGTTAAATTATAGTTTCAAAAATGATATCGTTGAAATAGTTATATTTTGATTCATGTTTTTAATATTAATTTATACTTCTTCCGAATGTCATTTACATAAATAAGGAGTTTATTTGATATATTATTAATATTTTATTTAAAGATTTCTTTCTTTGATGTGATCTACAAAGATCAAATATTTCATGTTGTTAAGTATTTCCACGAAAGATAATAATATTTTGGTATTTTTCATTGAGATTTTAATAAAATGTTTCGCAATCACACGAATGAAACACACCTACTTTATATTTTCTTTTAGGATTAAATATGTTTTTAGTCCCTAAACTATTGACCGTTTCTGGTTTTCGTTCCTCTTTCAAAGTAAGGTACAATTTGGTCCTCATTCTTTTCGAAACGTTCGTTTTAGTCCTCGAAAACTAAACACTGTTTAAAAATTTGGTCCTCATTTAGCAACAAATGAGGACTAAAACCAAAATTCCGAGGATTAAAACGAACGTTTCGAAAAACCTTACTTTGAAAGAGGGACGAAAACCAGAAACGGCCAATAGTTTAGGGACTAAAAACATATTTAACCCTTTCTTTTATTATTCCATAAAATTCAGATGAAATATAAGAATCATTCACTACTTTATCTTTTGACTTACAAAAAGTCAAATGATAAGAAATTAACTATAAATTATCAGCCCGATACTATGTTGTGGTTAAAATGCTGAATTGTTTACATTTTCTTTTATATCATAATTAAATCCAAGATATAAGAATTTACACTATTTTCAACGAACATATCCCCAATTAAAATACGAAAATATAACAAGATTTTATCAATAGTCACAAAATTAACAAGTTTTTAGTGAGATTAATCCAAGAATTCACTTGAAGAAGAGGAAGAAAATATAAAAAGGAAGATGGTTTTCAAAGTCCTTTTCCAATATAACTATTTACAATAATAATAATAATAATAATAATAATAATAATAATAATAATTATAAAAAAAAAGTATTATCCAAGATCATCCTGTTCTAAGGCAAAGAGTGAAACCAAATTTTAAAAAAACTATGTAAAATGAAATATGTTTTTATAACTATTAAATTAATTGAAGAGAATTTTCCAAGTTTAAAAAGAGAAATATCAACCTGTTAAAATCTCAACAAAAACAAACAAAATGATATGCTCTTATCTGCATGATGTCACTTAAATGTCAAAAAAGACACAATAAAAAGTGTTTATCCTGCCTTCCTTATCTGTTCTCTAATACATAACATGATAACAACCACATGAATGAACCTCTGAACCAAACACAGATTCTTCACTCTATGTTGCTACAACTCTCTCTTTTTCATCTTCTTGGCCTCCTTCAAACTCCAAACCAACTTCATCACTCATCTTCTCTGGTAAAGTTTACTCTTTCAGCAGATTGGTCTATAGGGTGAGTGAATTATGTTCATGAAGCTTAAGTTTCAGTGTTCAGTGAAAGCAATGAAAAGGGATATGCAAAAACGGAAGGGTTAAACTGAGATGGCTACAAGCAATTCCTACCTCCCTAGTGCTCCTTCTTCTCTTCTTCCAATCTCAATTCACAAGTTCCAAATCACTCAACTCAGACCAAAACCAAATGTGTCTTCCATCAAACAGCACATCAACCTCAGTGAAACACAACAACTCCAAGGTCACTTCATCAAAACCAGTTCCAGTTGGAGTTTTAGAGTCCCTTTTGCAGCACTGGAAAGTCATTCTAGCAATGAAGCAATTTACAGCTTCCTAATTACATCTTACATAAAAAACAAAAGCCCTGCAGATGCTGCAAAAATCTATGCCTATATGCGTAGAACAGACACCGAAGTTGACAATTTTATCATACCCTCGGTTCTCAAAGCATGCTGCCTTATCCCTTCAATCTTGCTAGGACAAGAGTTGCATGGTTTTGTGGTGAAAAATGGCTTTCATGGGGATGTTTTTGTGTGTAATGCTTTAATCATGATGTACAGTGAGGTTGGAAGCTTGGAATCGGCACGGTTGTTATTTGATAAGATTGAGAACAAAGATGCTGTTTCTTGGAGTACTATGATTAGGAGCTATGATAGGAGTGGTTTGTTTGATGAAGCATTGGACCTTTTGAGAGGTATGTTTATAATGGGAGTGAGGCCTAGTGAAACTGCAATGTTAAGCATCACACATGTCTTGGCAGAACTTGCTGAATTGAAATTGGGAAAAGCCATGCATGGTTATGTGATAAGGAATGTGAAGTTCGGGAAATCAGAAGTTCCTCTAAGTACTGGTTTGATTGATATGTACGTTAAGTGTGGAAATTTAGGTTATGCAAAAAGGCTTTTTGATGGCTTGTCTGAGGCTAGTATCATTTCATGGACTGCTATGATTGCAGGCTACATTCATTGCAATAACTTGAATGAAGGTGTAAGATTCTTTGTCAAAATGCTTGAAGAGGGTATGTTTCCAAATGAGATTACGATCCTTAGTTTGGTCAAAGAATGTGGCATAGCAGGTGCTCTAGAACTAGGAAAGTGGCTGCATGCTTTCACATTAAGAACTGGGTTCACCATGTCTTTGGTTCTTGCCACTGCTTTCATTCACATGTATGGCAAATGTGGTGATGCTAGAAGAGCAAGATCTCTGTTTAACAGCTTCAAGAGCAAAGATTTAATGATGTGGAGTGCCATGATTTCAGCTTATGCACAAAACAATTGTACAGATGAAGCATTTGATGTCTTTGTGCACATGACAGGTTGTGGAATAAGGCCAAATGAGATGACCATGGTTACCCTCCTCAAGGTATGTGCAAAAGCTGGATCACTTGAAATGGGAAAGTGGATCCATTCTTACATAGATAAACAAGGAATTAAAGAAGATATGATTCTTAGAACAGCTTTGGTGGACATGTATGCCAAATGTGGAGACATAGATATAGCTCACAGATTGTTTGATGCAGCAATGGACCGTGACGTTTCAATGTGGAATGCCATGATATCAGGTTTTGCAGTGCATGGTCATGGTGAGGCAGCAATGAAACTGTTTGAAGAAATGCAAGCACAGGGGGTTCTCCCTAATGACATTACATTCATTGGTGCTCTTCATGCTTGTAGTCACTCAGGATTGTTGCAAGAAGGGAAGAGGCTATTTGACAGAATGGTTCATGAATTTGGACTTATCCCAAAAGTTGAACACTATGGTTGTATGGTGGATGTTCTTGGTAGAGCAGGAATGCTTGATGAAGCACAGGAATTGATTAAGAACATGCCTATGAGGCCAAGCATGGCTGTGTTTGGATCTCTTCTTTCTGCATGCAGGCTTCACAAAAATCTCAAAGTAGGAGAATGGGCAGCAGAACAGTTTCTCTCATTGGAACCTCACAAAAGTGGGTATAACGTTCTGATGTCAAACATATATGCATCAGAAAGCAGATGGGGTGATGTTGCATACATAAGGAAAGGTATGAAGGATGAGGGAATTGTTAAAGTTGCAGGTGTTAGTTCCATTGAAGTGAATGGATCACTTCATGAATTCATAATGGGAGATAGGGATCACCCAGATGCTGAGAAAATTTATGAAATGATTGATGAGATGACTGAAAAACGGAAAGATGTTGTGATGGAAACCCATTTAGGGCATTCCATTCAAAGGAGTATCAACTTAATCTAAGGCTAGGAAAGGGAAGTTGAAGAAGAACTTTTAAGGCTCTTTCTTGATTTTCTTTCTCTATGTCTTAGAAGGATTCCTATTTTAATACTATATGGTTGTTTTGTTTGTAGGATACAATAAAGGCAAGAACCATGGCCAACCAATCAGATTTGGGAAAAAGCATTCTTCAAGGAATCAACATCAGGGTCGCTCAAGCACCCTCAGACAAAGGGGGCTCCAGCTCAGATGCACCAAATGCACTTCCTGGCTCACGTGCGCTCCAGCGCCCTCAGATAGGGGGGCTCCAGCCCCAGCGGAGCAGCCTGAAGCACGTTTTGGCAGCACTGTACATGTGACCCGGCATGTTTCCTGTGACCAGCTGACTTGGCCTCCAAGCTTGTCTTTTATTTTGAATTTTGGAGGGAAATTAGATCAGAATTGAGGCCCTTCTTCACCTATAAATAAGAGGGCCTCCCCTTTGTAATTCTCATTTTTGGATGTAATGAAATGCTGCAGAATTGTTTGCTCAGCCTCTTATATCCCTTAGTCACCTCTGAATTTCGAATTCAGATACTCCCCTCTAGCTTCCTTCCTTAGTAGGAAGGCCTTCTAAGCGTAGAGGCATCATACACACACCACATCTTCATCAAACACCTTTCTATGCATCCATTTCACTGCACCAAATCTCATTCCGTTGTGCATCTGTTTCAAAGCTTCTTCTTGCGTGCTTAATGCTAGGAGAGGGTTCCATCATGTTGGATACACCCCAGATGTATCGTCTCCTCGTGTCCGACATATAGGGCAATGACACACTTAGAATAATACTCATATGATACTAATAAGTGAATAAGTGAAGTGTCTCCTTTGAAATACATTTTCTTTTGTCTCTGCAGCATAATTTTACTCCAACACAATCTTAATAACCACAAATACAAGAATTTTTTAATGATCCATAAACTTCTAATCTTATCACTTTGGTAACATCTTAATTATTCAACATTCAACTATAATGAGATTTCTCACATCTTCAATATTACAAAACAGTCAACTCAAAAAAAATTTGAAAGTTATTACTTATATCCATAAATAACTTAGATAGCAAAAGGTATACAAGATCCTACACAACTATGAGATATTACACTGAACCAAAAGTATAATATGTCTTCTAAAAACAGATGAAACTAAAAATACTACATCCTACATTATGTCTCAACTCCATCTCCTCCCAGCACCTACTCACCAGAGACATCTCCCAAGCTCACACCATTATGGTTATCATTGCAAAATTGAAGAAATAAAACAAACAAACAAATACAGAGAAAAAATAGTAAGCTAATGTACCAAAAGATAATTTATACAATTTAGTTTAAAACATACATAATAATTACATCCTCGATTCAAATAACAAATCAAACAGATTTATAACATCAGAGTTGACCATCCGTATATGTGTATTGATGTCAGACTATAGCAAGTTGTTGCACTTGTAGTGGTGGAATAACTGGCCCACCCCAAGCTATCACACAAGGCTAGTCCGTCTACCACCTATGGCCAAAGAACACCAGACCATAGACTAGGACCTTCTGCTACTCCTCACCATATAAACCCCTTCTCTACATCAATACATCACACACTACTAAACTCCACCCTAGGAGCTACCCCATAACCATTGAAATACCAACATGAAGTCTCACCACGAGATCCATGAAATCACGCCAATCATCCATATCATACCATCATATTCATAAACCATAAACATACACATAAATATGTTCATAAACCATAAATATTCATATATTCAAATCAATTAAGTATAACAAATTTATAAACTAACTCACCCAAATAAGGAATCCAAAGCAAAGAAAACATATAAGAACTTAGAAACAAAGCACCTAACAAATTTAAATTTTTTTTAGGGATAATCGATTATTACACCTGATAATCGATTATTCCAAAGAAAATTGATGTAAAGATGATCTTCTGACTGAAATAATCAATTATCTTACTAAAATAATCGATTATAAAGTAAGATAATCGATTATTCTAGAGACTTTTGCAGAAAATATGACATTCGAACTGAAATAATTGATTATCAAGTAAGATAATCGATTATTCCGGTTAGTTTTGACACTAACATGATTTTTCTAGTTTGGTTGCACCTAAGACTCGTCCACATGACCAAAATTAGTATCCTTGACCCTATAATTGATTCAAGAACATGTTTATACTCAAAAGAAGATACCATTTTAATCTTTTGGTCAGGATTTAGTTGCGCCAACTCATAACAACCCTCCAAAAGCTAACATATGAGAATTTTACACATTACAAGTTTTAAATAGCCTAAAAACAGATCTTTTACTTCAGTTTTCCTCATTTAACCCTTATCTAAAAATCTTGCCTATCAAAAGCCCATTTTTAGACCAAAACTACCCTATTCTTTTACCTATTTACTACTTTTTCATTTATCAGCATATTTTTGGTTAACTATAGTTTCTAGACAAGTTCTAAATGACCTATAAAGACAGCTGCCAAACATCAGTTATAGCTCCAAAATCGCTCTTATAGAAATTTACCTACCAAAACCCCGGTGTAGACCAAAAATCAACTATAACTCTATCATTCTATCACATTAAAATTCAACAACAAATATCAACTCATTATGACATAGTCCCACCAATTCAAGCAACCTAAAACCATTATATTCAACAAGTAATCACTGTAAATCCTTTCAATACCAGACAACACACATTCAATAGAATTCGCATCAACAACTTTTCATACCAAATTTATAAATTTCAAACAAAACCAAGCATGCAAGACGCTATATTGAAACATTAGCAACATAAAAATGAGTAGTTAGTTTCCTTTACCTTACAAAGGACCCAATGACTCCACCCGCTCAAGGAACTCTATCTGCACCTACAACTCATAGAGACATGATCATGGTATATTTTTAGAACTACTGATTAATAGAGAGTCTTATAGAAGACTTAGATGACACATGAAAAAGCACTACGACTCGCATGTAAAGAAAACAAAACATACCAAAGAAAAAGAGTAGAAACTAACTTACTCTTTTGGAGAAACTAATCGGGTAAACTTGAAGATCTCTGTCACTGTGATTACTTAGACGTTCTAGAGACATAATGTGTTTTAAAATAATGAAACTCTTTTATAACGAAACTATTTATATTAAAACCATTTAATATTAAAATAATCAAGTCTCACTATTTTTAACTATTACCACTTTTAAAAGGATCTTTACAACTTTCAAAAGGATCTTGTTGGTAAGAAAAAAATGTACAAAATATCACTTTGACGAAATACACTAAGAAAACTCAATATTCATACATGATTTCAACTTATATTAAAAAAATATATTATTTTTCAATCTAAAACTTTAAAAGTAAATTTATATATTTTTTTCTTTATAAATTGTTCAACCTTTCTTCATTGTAAACTTATATTCACCTTTTGAATTTTTAATTTATACAAATTTATTGCATTAGAATTCTAAATTAAAAGTGATGTTATAATCTTTTGTATAGATTATTTCATGAGCGTGAGTACAATTATCCCAATACAATAAAATTTAAGCATTCCACGAGAGGTTTTATTAGAGATCTTATTCTCATACATTATACTTCACCAAAACAAAATTATCAACAACTTACAATAGCGTATACTTGTGCAACAGTACACTTTTTCTCATAAACTATGCCATATTCTTAATCCAAATATCATGAAATTTTAATATATAAATGAACCTTTTTTTCATAATATAAAAAAAATTAGGAGCATGAATAAGTAGCTGCCATTGGCCATGAGGCAATTCCTTTAATTTTTGTGAGTATAATCATTTTCATTTTTTCTAATATTTGTCTAAGCAAAATGAAAAGAGTGGTCTTGGATTTACCTTAAGCTACGTATTTTTATTAATTACTTTAACATTTTGGTTTTAGGTACTCTTTTTGGTTCTTATGAAACCTTAAACCAATAAAGTTATATAAGTAACTATCAAACATTGAATATCAATTTAATTTTAAATTGATACACTTTACTAATTTAAGAACTACTTATTTCTAACAGTGGAAGATTATTTATATGAATATTTTTTATTCCAGAAAATTTTTAATTACTTTTTTTCTGAAATTTGAAGTAAATTTAGCTCTCCAATTTAAATAAAAAAAATTTCAGTTTAGTTCCTTAAAAAAGTAAAAATGTTTAGTCTTTATGTATTAATTTTGATATATTGAAAAGGTATATATATATATATATATATATATATATATATATATATATATATATATATATATATATTGTGTTCAAATTTAAATATATAATATATTGTGTTCAAAATTATAAAATAATATCACAATCTATTCACATTCGTTATTATTCGCATATCACACTAATTTTAGNAAGGAGTGTTAGTGATTCTGTTAGAGTGAGACCCAACGAAGCCTGAAACTCCTTGGCGTTGAACAAAAGCGCCGAACTCATTGCTTTCAAAATTTAAAGTAAGTCTCTCTCTCCATCTTTTACGTTTCATCATTACTTAATGATTCGTCTGTGTTGCGATTCTTCAACTTCTTGGTATTTGTATGTTGTGTATATCTGGATTGAGAAATTTAGATTGGTGTGCTACGTGTAGGTAAAACTGAAGTGTATGTTGCTTGCACACCACGTGTTTGATAATATGCCTGCACAAAGCTTCAACTCGTAGCTTTGTGAATTTTTTGTTTCTGAAATTTTGTCTGACTTGGAAGTTGTTGGATATGTCCGTCGGTTTGAACTTACATGGAATTGCTTCCTCACATTTCTTTCGTGTTGTAAAATGTGGATACTACTGCTAGTGCTTGTAATAAATAATAGTGTCTGTATACTGTTTGTTATATGGTTTAGGGGGGCTTTTGTTTACTTCTTTTGACTGCTGTTGATTATTTGTTGTATTCAGGGTTAAATGGGTTTTTGTGGTTCATTCTAAATGTTACTGTTTATTTTTCTTTTGATCTGTAATTTTTGAAAAAGTATTAATCTAGGATCGGGGGAAAAAAAGAATCTTTCGCATATAGTCCTTTTGTAAGAAATGCATCCCTTTGGTTAAAGTTTCCCTAATCTTGTTTGGACAAAAGCACTATTGAGTTTGGTCCCTTTTCGTGATTGCAATTTGGAGGCTTCAATTTCTTATGTGTGGTTTAGATTAACATTTTAGTTTTGATAGAAATTGAAATTCGAACCAAGCTCACTTGTGCATTTAATATTTTTAATTGAGTTTGAACCTTCATATTAATTCCACTTGAATTTTTTTTTCGGGTTAATATATTTGTTTGATTTCCTTTATTGCATTATAAATCAAATTGTTTTTGATGTTTGCAATTTGCTCATGTGGTCTTCGGAAACGTCTTTTGACATGAGTTGCAGCCTACTCAGTGAGACGAAAACACGTACCCTTTCTTCCTCGGGTCTCAGAGTGGCATATTATAAAGATTTGATGCAGAATGGCTACAACCAGAGCTCGAATTAGTAGCTTCTCTCGCAATGTATCAACAGTGACATCTCAGAATCCTGGACTTAAGCATGGCCCTAATGGAACAATGCTCATTTCATCTGGGATTCCCGATCTTGACAGTAATTATCCCTTTGACTTGCTTTTAAGTGGCTGTTAGTGAATGAAGGAGTTATATTGTTTTATTTGATTCATGTGGAGTGTCTTTTCAGAGAAGAGTCTCATGCTTGCTTTTTCCCCCTTTTGAGTAGAGATTTTAGGTGGTGGTTTTCCATTGGGTAGCCTTGTCATGGTTATGGAAGATGAAGAAGCACCTCATCATATGCTTTTATTGAGAAATTTTATGTCTCAAGGACTTGTACAAAAGCAACCACTCTTGTATGCTAGTGCATACAGAGATCCTAAAAGATTTCTTGGTACTTTGCCTAGTCCAGCATCGTCCAAAGGGGATAAATCTTCAGATCTTAGCCATGTACTTTTGTTCATCCTTTGCTATTTGTGTTATAATGACTATTTTATGATAATTTATTTTATTTATTGCTCTTATAATTACAGGAGAAGGATATAAGAATTGCTTGGCAATACAAGAAGTACTTTGTTGATTCTCAGCTGAATCTCAACACTAATAATGGTACGTTTATTATATTCTTTATCTGTTTCTCTATTCTCAACATGGTACTAGACTGGTACCATCCTCTATGATATGTATCCTTGTGTCATGGTATCAAAGCCTGAAAAGAAGGCAACACTAATCCGAGTTTTCATAGGTGTAATTTTTATTCTTGAAACTGTGTACATTTCTGGTTTCTTTTTCTTACACTATTCATCATTCGTGTTATTGTTCACCATTGATGTTTTCCTAGCAAGTTTCTTTTGGTGAGATTTTTCTGGCCCATGACAGCCTCTACTAACATTTCCTTGTTGTGCAATGACCATCTTTTGCTTTTCAACTGCCAGTGTCCTTTGACCATTTTTTCTAGCAACCTCCTTGTCCTTTGTGCAATTGTTTTGGTTTCCGGTAACCACTGTGCCCTCTGATAATTTTTTCTCTCCAGCAGCCATGGTAGTATTGAAGAAGTTTTTTTCTGGACAACAACAGTTGACATTTGTGGCAAGCTTGACTCATGCTCCAACATTAAGGGGAGTGTTAAAGATATTGTTTTTCATTAATCGTTTCAACATGGTATTAGAGTCACAAGAAGGGAACCCCAATCTGAGTTATCCCTGTGGGCCCACTGCTGCTGGGTGTAATTCTTTTAGAAACTGTGTACATTTTTGGTTTCTGTCTTTTAGAAATTGTTTAAGTTTTTCTTTTTCACTATCCAGTGTCGGTGTTACTGTTCATTGTCAACATTTTACCAGTTAATTTTTATTTTCAGTGTGTTTTTTCTTGTCAGTGACCACCATCTTGCCTAGCTTTGTAGTGACCATTTTTTTGCTTTTCACCAGTTGCTGTACCATTTCACCATTTTTTCTTTCCAACAGCCTCCTCGTTTTCTGTTTTTGCAATTCAGTAACTTTCATGTCCCCAGATCATTTTTTTTTCTCTTCGGCCGCTCATGCTCCAACTTGTGGGGATTTGTCATTATTTACTTTATCACCTCCAACAAACAACCAATTGAACGACATGATTCTCTCCAGGGTTCTTGTGTTAATGACATTTATAACAAGCTTTTCTCAGATGGTAGCTCTCTCCCAACTCAAGGGGGATGGTTAGAGATATGATTTGATTACATTAAATTGGGAGATTTGATGGGGTATATCTTATCAAATATTTTGCATCACTAGATATTGACTTCGTTTCTTATTATTGTATCTCTTCTTCATTACCAATAAGAATACTCATGTATGTACATAACGTACAAAATTCATTTTATTCCTTCTTGGTTTCTCATTTCTCAACATGGTACCAGAGCAGTACCATTCTCCTTGACCTCTTTTGTCATTAATCCTTTCAACAATTAATATGCATTTGTGATCAATTTTTATAGCATCTTATGAGAAGGGAGCAATTTGCAAATTGATGAATATGCCAATCATGTAATGTTAATTAATGAGTTGAATCTTATTTACATTTTAGGTGGTCAGCAGGATTACTGTAATGATTTTGATTTGAGAAAGCCCCTGGATCGGCATTATTTTAGTGGCAGCAATGTAGATTGTGTTTGCTTCAAAGATTCTCCAAACCTTAGTGCTCTTCAAGACAGTTGTGCTGAATTTCTAGCTAAACTCTCAAGGTGAAGTGATCTACACCCACTATGTTAGAAATGTATTCTTAGAAATATAAGATGATTCCTCCTAGGACTCCACCTAATAGCTACAGATTTTAGGAGAACAGGATCTTGACAGTATTGAACTGTTTATTCATATTGCCGCACCTGGTTGAGTCAAGTTTTTCTCAATAGAATAAAATAAAACGAGATTAAATTGGATAGTGTTTATTGTTTGGATTTGATCGTAAGGGTATAATGCTCCTTCCAGGCAAAAGTTTATTAAATCTTTTGATAGATATTTTTTCACGCATGCAATTTAAGATTTGATAGAATAAACTGATGTCATTTGGCCAAGGTTGCTGTCTCCAGCCAGTGGGTAAGGGCTTTACTAGTCGTGTGCAATTTAGAACTTATTTTCCGTATTTTTATGCTATAGTTGGCAATCGTTATGATTGGATGGTCTTACGTAGGTAGCTGTGAGTTATTATTATTTTTTATTTTGATGGGCACGTACTGATGATAAATACAATCTAGGGATTACGCATCTGGGAAGCAAGCAGTGTTTGTGAGTTTTGCAAATGCATGCAATTGTCATAATTGGCTTTGAAGAATATTTCTTTTAGCACTATACCACAAACTCCTGCAATATCATTATTTTGAATGCTGGCGTAAAAGAGATGATTAAGATTGCAGTATTGTTAATTTTGAACTATATTTATTGTTGCTTCTGGAACCTTACTTTAGAAACTTTGGCGCTTGATCAAGGTAATTACAGTTTGGCTATTTCTTCTTTCTGCCTACTTTTTCATTTACAAACATTACGGATGTCATCACAGAAATGAAGGCAACATTTCCTCCGCTGGTCGTATTGCTATTCAATCATTATGTTCTCCACAGTGCAAGTATTCAAATGATGTGAGTTAATATATTTCCTTCGCTTTTTTTCATATTATTTTGAAATAAGTTTCTCCTTTGTCTTTGAGCTGTAAACCTTTCTTTATGACTCTTACACAGCCTTCCCTCTAGGAACTAGGAAACAGTTTACCTGCTTGCAGATCCTATCTTGCGATCCTAGTTGAATCTCAGACATTGATACCGTTCTTCATTCTATGAAAGTTTAACATTTTTCTAATAAGAAATGTGTTCATATCTTTATTGTAGGAGTGGCATATGCTTTCCTTTATTAGGTCCCTAAAGAGCATGACTCAATCTTCAAACGCTGTTGTTGTTGTAACCTTTCCACCTTCACTTCTTTCTCCATCTTGTTCACTAAGATTGCAGCATATGGCAGACACCTTGCTTTCTGTCAGAGCCATTCCAGGTTCATTGTCAACTCTCAGGTCTTATATTTCATGTGTTTATTTATGAATTATCTCAAATTTCAGCACTAGACTATATTTGTTTCAGATGAGGACAAGGAACTGGCAAAACTCCTCACTGGTTACCAGGATATGATAGGGCTTATAAACATACACAAAGCTGCACGGTTAAATACACAGGTTATATTCATACTTCATTTTGATTTATCTTTGAATTACTTCTTTTGTGCACCAATAGTTCCCAATATGACATGCATACAACTGTTCACATCAGTTTATACAATTTTTAATAAATGTGTGTTTGAATTTAAATGGAAAATCTGCATACGTCCATCTTTTCAACTCAATTGCACTAAATCAGAGAAGCTTCTTCTGGGAGCTGCTTTTAAATTTGAGAGTATGAGAATTTGATCAGAAGACGAAGTAATTCGCTTGATAACTATTATTTTTTGGCACATGCTATAGATCTTGCCCGTCTCCTTGTAAAGTTCATTGGATAGAAGCTACTTTTTTCTAGAAGCTACTTTTTTCTTTCATACACATCTGCCTTTGCCAATTGTCTGATTTTCATCATGCAGGTTCCAGTGATTCTGGAGGCTACAACGTTCTCAATCAAATTGCAAAAGCGGAGGTTTTTGGTCTTAGAATGTCTAAATCAAGCCCCAGTTGATGGATCAAGTGGAAGTTCATATGGTACATCTGGCGGTTGTTCTGGGTCATCTAAAGTTGGGACACTTGATTTTTAGATCATACCTTATTTTTACATCTGGCGGTTGTTCTGGGTCATCTAACTGAACACTTGTAACAACCAAACAGATTCTAACTTATATCTTTTTGTTCTTTTGATAATCAAATGGTTTCACTATTGGTTCGTCTGTAATGTACAGGTTTAAAAGATAGTGTACAATTGAAAATGTTGAGTGTCAGGGAGAAAAATAGCAGACTGTATTTTTTTTTTTTAATTTGGTTGATAGTAACTCTGCATTTTCATGCTTAGTTGTACTGTGTTAACTTCGTATTAGGAATCATGGGTGTTTTTTGCGAACAGGAATAAGAACAATATCAGTACTGACCATTTAGTTTAAATTATCACAAATTATTCTCTCAAAAGTTAATTTTTTCTTAATTTTCAAATTTCAGATTCGCATATCAGGCCAAAAGTGTTAAATTAATTATCAAAATTTTGGTTGATGAGTTGAACCAAACATCATTACTTATTTTTAAACCTTAGTCGTTAGTGGAAAGATAACTTATCTGCATCCCATTTTTGTTACATAGGTTGCAAAATACTAAACTCCTGAGGAAATTAAAAAAAATGTTTCAAGAACAAGATCACTGTGAAATTAACTCGATCTACTTATATTTACATCAGTTATCGTAACAATCTTTTACTACATTCTAAGACAGTTAATTTCCATTATTAGTAACAATTGAGTTGCAACTTGCAGGCATGGAGATCACAACAAATTCTGAATGTATCTCAATCATAAGAAAAATGATACTTTAAAAAATATAAATTTTTTATATTCATTTGATATAATTTTTTCTTACTTTTTATTTTTCATTTTAAAAAAAATACAAAAATTCACTTTTTTATAATTATTTTATTATTGTATATTAAAAGTGTATCATTCTACTATTATTTCATCCATAAAATTGTTTTGTAGCCTTTGATTCTAAATTTAAATATTGAAGGCCATTTTTCAATCCTCTTGCAATTCTAATTCACAAGACAAAATCTTCTTACTCAAAATATTATTTTCTTTCTTGCAGCATATTTCATAAACTCATAAATTTTATGATTTAATAAATTGAACTTCTTTATGTGTAATCATACTTTAAATTTGAATTAGAGCTTCAATTGACAAATCAGTCGAAGTCGAATAAGCATGAAATTCTCCATCTAAAAGAGAAAATAAGTGTTAAATAAATGGTACTTGTTCTTACTTTGGTACCATGATTTACTTTTAATTAAATTTTCTATTGAATGTCCAAATTAATTTTATTCACGAACGGAAAAACTAACAAGTTGAAAGAACCAAAATAGGAAATTGAAAATATAATTAATCTCTCTTTAACATATACTTTATCCATATACTTTTAGGAATTAAAACTCCTGTAACATATTTAAGAAGCAATTATCTATTAATCTTAACTTAAAAGTGGTGTGGCCGTTTAATCGAAAACAAATTCAGAAAAATTCTTTTGGATCGGAAAGGAAGTTATCTGAGAGATACAAACATTCATAAAATCTGAACTTAACTATACAAGAAATTGATACTATTCTCTATCTAAAGTTTTAAGTCAATAGATTAACTTGTTTCTCACCTTTACACAGTGTTTTTATTTTTATCTAATATAAAACTCGGACTGACCCTTACATTCCTGTTTTTTATCCTCATTTAATACTATTTTTCACTATCCTTCACTTTTCCTTTTAGAAATAAAAAATTAATTTCGTTAAAATTATTTTCTTATAAAAGTTTATAAAATGGAGTGACATATTTTCAAATATCTTATTCTTTTTACCAATATAGAAACGAGATATTAACGTCTGTTTGAAAAATGTGATGAATTATATAATAACATAAGACTAGATTGTGTCTGAAGAAAAAACAACAGAAGATATTAAACTAAGATTTAGCGAAAGATGTCATGGATAAGACGGTGGTTATGGTTGGCAATGGCAAAGACAACACAACACAACACAGTTTAACATTTTCGTGTCGTGTTGAGTTTGGTTTTAACGATAAACCCTCCTTCATGTTCTGTAACTCCCAATGGCGGCGTTTGCTAAACCCTCTCAACTTCATGCTCAATTGGGTAATCCTCTTCTTCCTCCTTCTACTTCGACCAACTTCAACCTCAAAACTCGCACTTTTACGCACAACCTGCACACCCTTCATTCCCCTCTTAGAAAAGTTAAACATGTTTGTGTTTCAAGTTCTTCCACTGCCACTACCTCCCTCAGCAACGACCACAGCCACAGCGCAAACTCTGATATTTCCCAACTGTGCCTTCTTGGGAACTTGGACCGTAGCATGAGCTACTTAGACTCAATGCACGAGCTTCGAATTCCCGTTGAAGATGATACTTACGTTGCCTTGGTACGACTGTGTGAGTGGAAGGGAGCAAGGAAGGAAGGGTCACGTGTTTATTCCTATGTTTCCAAGTCCATGACCCTTTTGAGTCTTCAACTGGGGAACGCGCTTTTGAGTATGTTTGTGAGGTTTGGGAACTTGGTGGATGCTTGGTATGTTTTTGGGAGAATGGAGAAAAGGAATTTGTTCTCTTGGAATGTTTTGGTTGGTGGGTATGCTAAAGCTGGCTTCTTTGATGAGGCTCTGGACCTCTATCATAGAATGTTGTGGGTTGGTGAGAGGCCTGATGTTTACACTTTCCCTTGCGTTTTGAGGACTTGTGGTGGCATGTCTAACTTGATGAGGGGTAGAGAGATTCATGTGCATGTTTTAAGATACGGGTTTGAGTCAGATGTGGATGTGCTTAATGCATTGATAACCATGTATGTGAAATGTGGGGATGTAAGTACTGCCAGGTTGGTGTTCGACAAAATGTCTAATAGAGATAGGATTTCGTGGAATGCCATGATTTCCGGGTATTTTGAAAATGGGGAGTGTCTGCAGGGATTGAGATTGTTCTGCATGATGATAGAATATCCTGTTGATCCAGATTTGATGACCATGACCAGTGTGATTACTGCATGTGAGCTTCTGGGTGATGAGAGATTGGGGAGGGAAATTCATGGTTATGTTCTGAGAATGGGGTTCGGGAGTGACCCTTCAGTTCATAATTCGTTAATTCAGATGTACTCATCAGTTGGGCATATTCAGGAAGCGGAAACAGTTTTCTCTCGAGCAGAATGCAAAGATGTGGTGTCATGGACTGCAATGATATCAGGTTACGAGAATTGTTTGATGCCTCAGAAAGCACTTGAGACATATAAAATGATGGAAGCAGAAGGTATCATGCCAGATGAAATCACAATCGCCATTGCACTATCTGCTTGTTCTAATATATGCAGTTTAGACATGGGGACAGACCTCCATGAGACAGCCAAACAGACAGGGCTCATCTCTCATCTGATAGTTGGAAACGCACTCATTGACATGTATTCAAAGTGTAAATCCATTGACAAGGCTTTGGAGGTTTTCCACTCTACTCTTGACAAGAACATTGTATCTTGGACATCGATCATCCTAGGTCTTAGGATCAACAGCCGGTGTTTTGAAGCTTTATTTTACTTCAGGAATATGATTCGTAGACTGAAGCCAAACTGTGTTACTTTAGTTTCTATTCTGTCTGCATGTGCTAGAATAGGAGCTTTGACATGTGGAAAAGAGATTCATGCCCATGCATTGAGAACTGGAGTAAGTTTTGATGGCTTTATGCCTAATGCAATTTTGGACATGTATGTGAGGTGTGGAAGAATGGGATATGCGTGGAAACAATTTTTCTCAGTTGATCATGATGTTACTGCATGGAACATTTTGCTTACAGGATATGCTGAGCGTGGGAAAGGAGCACTTGCTTCTGAAGTTTTTCAGAGAATGGTGGAATCAAACATCAATCCTGATGAAATAACATTTATCTCCATATTATGTGCTTGCAGCAGATCAGGTATGGTAGCCGAAGGCTTAGAATATTTTAACAGCATGAAGTATAAGTACTCTATCACACCTAATCTGAAACACCATGCATGTGTGGTTGATTTACTTGGCCGTTCTGGGAAATTGGAGGAAGCTTATGAATACATACAGAAAATGTCACTGAAACCAGACGCAGCAATCTGGGGAGCTTTATTAAATGCATGCAGGATTCACCATAATGTTGAACTTGGGGAGCTTGCTGCAGAGAATATCTTTCAATACGATACAACAAGTGTCGGATACTACATTCTTCTCTCTAATCTTTATGCTGACAATGGTAAATGGGACAAGGTTGCAGAAGTAAGAAAAATTATGAGACAGAATGGGCTAATAGTAGATGCTGGATGCAGCTGGGTGGAAGTCAAGGGCACAGTGCATGCTTTTCTCAGTGGTGATAACTTTCACCCTCAAATAATGGAAATAAATGCACTTTTGGAGAGGTTTTATAAGAAGATGAAGGAAGCTGGTGTTGAAGGGCCAGAAAGCAGTCATATGAACATAATGGAAGTTTCTAAGGCTGACTTATTTTGTGGGCACAGTGAGAGACTGGCCATTGTGTTTGGACTTATGAATTCTGGTCCTGGGGTGCCTATTTTGGTGACAAAGAATCTGTACATGTGCCAAAATTGCCACAACATTGTGAAATTTATCTCTAGGGAGGTTCGCAGAGAGATTTCTGTGAGGGATGCTGAACAATTGCACCATTTCAGGGGAGGCATCTGCTCTTGCATGAATGAAGGATACAGGAGTTAACCTGATTACCAGGGAAACTGTAAGATATGTAGCATCATGGTGAGAAATTAGAATTGAAAGAAATTGCTTCAATATCCATGCATATAAGATTTGAACATGACTTCACATATATGACAGGGTTTATTCCCATCAAGTACCAAAATGTTTTTATGACATTTAGTTAAATGAGACAAATGTTCATTATTTTGTAAAAACACGATAAAGAACTTGAAACCTGGGGCATGATTATGTAGAAAGAGAATGCCTTTTTTACGAGAACTTTCAGATATTTAGCACAAGGCAAAATGGAAAGTAGAGAAACTGGCTTTTTGCTGTAAAAATGAGCTGCTTTCTCATATTTGACAGGTAAATAACCTTGTAAGTAAATTTAATAATATAACGCATGTATTCTACAGACCTATTCCCTCTCTCATTTTTATCTTCAAAAGAAAATTTTCATTCCATCATCCAGCATCAGGTAATATAGTAGAAGTGTCGAAAAACTCTTAAGATATCTGTTCATAATTTCACTACTCTCTTGAAGTTGAGATTGGCTTGATAAATGATAGGTGAAAGCAGTTGTTGTTGGATTGAGCGCTTATCACTAAGACAAAAGTTATACCTATTAGTTAGAGTGCAATTCTTTCCACTTAAGAGTGTATCAGTCCAAGCGTTACGATTTAATTGTGACTCAGGTTCACTATTTCCATCACATGACAATTGACGCCATTTACAACACTTAAGCTTCCTAGCTACTTTCTAAAGTCACATAATTTTTTTGTCATCTTATAGATCAGATGGATTTCTGTACCTGTTAGCATGGTTTACTGTCTAGTGATCCGCATTTATTTTCCTATGAAAGATAGAAGTCATCTCAGTGTACTGTAATCTGTATTTCTCTCTTTCTTGCATGTCCTTCATTGGGTTTCTGGTGATAAAGATCAAGAACTTGGTATGGACTTTGCTTGGTTTCGGGCTTCATGAGTTGTTTGCAGCCAACAAACGTTCAAAGCATGCCTATTGCTAAAGTACAAAATTTTGTCTTGGAAAAAGGAAAAATAAACCCTACTTGTTCCAAAATTCAGGGGTGTTCATAAGTATATTGTGGTAGCAGCAATGCAGATTGTGTTTAGAATCAAAGATTCTCTGAACCCTTCAACGTCATTATGCTGGATTTCTAGCTCAACTGTCAAGGTAAAGTGATCTATTCCACTATGTTAGATATAAGATGATTGCTAGGCCTCCACCTAATAGCTACAGATTTTAAGACAATAGGTTCTTGACAGTATTCAGCTATATAATGTTCTTTCTTAATAGAATGAAATACAATGAGATTAAATAGTACAAGGTTTAGATTTTATCATAACTATACAATGTTCTTTTTAAACAAAACTTTATTAAATCTTTTGACAGATATCTGTTTAGCATATGCAATTTATGATTTGATAAAATACAGTGCTATTTGGCCAATATAGGTGTCTCCACCCTCTGGTTAGGGCTTTCATTTGATACATATTCTCTAATTTTAACAAACATCGCCTAACAAAAAGAAGCGTACATGTATACACTTAATAAAACATTGAAACTTAAAATTTCATATCCAAACAGTGTTGAATAGATAAACGTTTAAAAAAATGAATAGTCTGGAAAAGTTCGCCAAACAATATAATAAAACTTACAAACACTTTTATAAAATGAGCATTTAACATTTTATATCGTCTAAAGATTATATATTAAACGTTTTGCTTCCTAAACGATGCTTCTATCAACGAGCTGGCGTGTGCTAAAATGTTTTCAACACGCAATATGCTTAAACGATTACTAACGTTTAAAACATTTGTTGCATGTACGAAAAGTACTTCTTTGCTTGTATGTTTTGTTCTCTTTATCTGTGCAGATCATGAAGGTACAAGAATTTACTCAAATTCCTACACAAGATCGATAAAGACGTTAAGAGATAGGAAGACATTCTGAGAATGTTTCCTTAAAGCTTCAAGCTCTACAAAATCGTACAAACTACTTTTGTCAAAGTTATGATAAATCACTATAAACGTAGACCTAAGTCTGACTACCTACCTAAAAAGACTAACGGATCTTTCTCGAAGAATGTTATTTATAGATTATTGCATGAAGAGAAGACAAGAAATATACATGCATATAAACAAGCTTGTTATTACGCTGCATCTCTTTCTTTATATGTCTAACGCTTTCGTTTATAGAGAACATTTTTACAAGTCTTTCATATTTGCTTTATAATGAAACTTATTTTCTCTTTGAGTTATCAAATTTATATCTTGTTTGAAAAACCTTTTTGGTTGTTTTGTAAATTCATAAGTGAATTAAAACATTTGGTATGTAACTAAGTTGAGTTAAATGATCCAATTAGTTGACTAGTATTGAGACCAGGGTGATTGATACTTGTTGTAAAGTAAGAGTGTTAAAACTTGTATAATCTTTATTAAAGATTAGCAAAATCTCTTAACAAGTTACCTTATAAATGTTTTTCTAAACACTCTTTAAAACACAAGTGCCTCTAACAATTACTGCTAAAAGTTTTTAAAACACTATTCAAATTCCTCATTCAAATTCCTCTTTATAGTATTTTTCCAATGTTTCAACATTAACATTTTACTAGGTAATTAGATCTGAGTTATACTTTAAAAATATCTTTTTATTTAATTTTATATTTAAAAAATTTGATTTTAAATAATTTTATTTAAAATTAAAAAAATATATATATAAAAATATCTTCGGAATGCTTACCGGTATAAAAAAAAACCGTGGCAACTAAAATATCAATTTAAAACAGATATAAACAAATAACATTGTTATGTTAAAAAACTTATATCTATTCATTTTTTAAATTTAAAAACAATTATATCATAGTTTGAAATACAAATAAATTATAATTTTCTGTTGAAATTTAAAAACAATAAACATATTTATCCATACTCAAATTAACTTAATTTATCGATCATAACCCTAATCTACTTGCATCTAAGTCTACTTACATATAAATCCATCAATCATAACTATATTTCCCTTAAATTTGAATCGAGAAAGTGTGAATTAAAATAAAAATATTATACAGACACTTCATTGTAACGATGGGTTACAAGAAACATAAAATCAATCTTTTACTGGTGGGATCATAAAAAGTTCCGAATGCATCTTGTATCCATAAAACTGTGCTGTGGTCTTCGACTCTAAATTCACGAACACTTTTCAATCGTCTTGCAGTTATAACAGAAAAGATAATGTTAATTACAAAATCTATTATGGCATTTTATAGAACTTCATTCATACGTTAACCAACTCGAGCCTAATTAAACTGCAAACTCGAGATGACAAAGGTCTTCCAATGCTAATCAATTTTTTTCCTTTCATATAACTCAAAAGAACCAAGTTCCTTACCATTTTAATTGTCAGATGGTAGTAAAAAATGGTACAAATTTTGATGATAGCAAGTCTATGCAACAAAATCGTAGTAGAAAACTCCTTTTCATGGTGAGAAAAAGCTCCGGTTGGCAAACAAGTGGATCTCAGCAATTTTGGGCAAACAAATGCTGGATGACTTCAGTCAAACATGTGAGGAAGTGGTCTGACAGCCATAAATGCATCCACCATCTGAGAATTATGGAAAAAGATAATATTTAAGTTTAGCACCATATATACATTAATACAACCAACCATGATTTCGTAAAACAATTCCACCCAACCAAATATGTATGTAGTGCGAATATTGACCATATTCCGTCAAAATTTTGAACACTAATAAATGCTACTTTTTCAATTGTGAACACCCGGACACAAATACACACATATATTGGTGGAATGGAGGCAGCTTTTCAGTAAAAAAAATCTTATCTAAGAGTAAACAAGTTTCAGATGTTCTAGCAATATTCAACAATAAGGGTTTTCTTAATTCCAACCAAGACTTTCCTCTCACCCAGGTTAATAATTGGTTTTGGCAATACTCAAGATTATGCAATTAACAATCGAAATGTCAACTTATTTTCCCTGTATTATTATTTCACTCTTGTAACGTAGGAATCTATGCAATGACATCTATTATTGTTGAATGCATACCTCTTCAGTCACAGAAGCCCGAGCCCTACGATGTCTCTCCACTATTTCAGTCAAGACCTGAATTAGCCGTTGCTTTACCTCACCCGTTAGCATGCGCCCTTCTCCATATTCCTACAAGAGAATAACAAAACAAGTTAGGGAAAGAAAATCAAAGGGTTCCTCCTTATGCTATTTGTATTATTAAACAAATTGGGGGAAAAGGATAGAAATCAGACCTTTTTAATGTGTTCAAGTTCAGCATCATCTTCTAAGAAAAAAGTTAGGTATTTGATTGGTATATCTACCTGAATCATGCTACAAAAGGTCAAAATTCTTGGACTGTAACAGGAGGTAAAGACGGGAGCACTAAAAGAAAGGCAAAACAATTTATTAGACAAAAAAAGGGTTTAATCTTTCGTTTCAATTTTACTAGGCATATTATATACATGTGCCTTCTTAATCCTTCTTCATTCTATCACTTTTCAAAATTTAGGTGAGGGGGAAAACATTAAATAAATGATGAGGTTTATACATCTAATACATGTAAAGTGCATTATTTATGAACCGGCAATAATTCCGTTACCTCAAGATTTGCCCCCAATTGCCTATGTTTCTCAACCGAATCTTGCCCACCAGAAAATGCATGCTTGTTTACCTGAAGAGAGCGACACATACACTTGGTGAAAATAACCAAATGAGGGCAGAAGAAACCACACAGATGTTGCTTAGAAAAATTATACTCATTACACAAACGCCAATGACAACAAGTATATTTACCTTGTCACCCAAGATTCCTCAACAAAACAAGCAATTAAAGAAAGAATAACCTACTGCTAACTTTTGTCACAATGAACAAATAAATCTACAAGACTTGTAGATAAGCAACAGAATTAACAGAAAAAAAAAATTTAAATAGAGTAATTTCAGTAGCACCTTGTTCTTTATATCTTTTGCAGAATCAGTCACATATATTGCGGAATTGGGATCACTGGCAGACATTTTTCCTGTTTCCCCCTGAAAATTTATATATTTTAAAGATGTGAGGTCATGGTTGACAGAATAAAATNCCATTGACAAGGCTTTGGAGGTTTTCCACTCTACTCTTGACAAGAACATTGTATCTTGGACATCGATCATCCTAGGTCTTAGGATCAACAGCCGGTGTTTTGAAGCTTTATTTTACTTCAGGAATATGATTCGTAGACTGAAGCCAAACTGTGTTACTTTAGTTTGTATTCTGTCTGCATGTGCTAGAATAGGAGCTTTGACATGTGGAAAAGAGATTCATGCCCATGCATTGAGAACTGGAGTAAGTTTTGATGGCTTTATGCCTAATGCAATTTTGGACATGTATGTGAGGTGTGGAAGAATGGGATATGCGTGGAAACAATTTTTCTCAGTTGATCATGATGTTACTGCATGGAACATTTTGCTTACAGGATATGCTGAGCGTGGGAAAGGAGCACTTGCTTCTGAAGTTTTTCAGAGAATGGTGGAATCAAACATCAATCCTGATGAAATAACATTTATCTCCATATTATGTGCTTGCAGCAGATCAGGTATGGTAGCCGAAGGCTTAGAATATTTTAACAGCATGAAGTATAAGTACTCTATCACACCTAATCTGAAACACCATGCATGTGTGGTTGATTTACTTGGCCGTTCTGGGAAATTGGAGGAAGCTTATGAATACATACAGAAAATGCCACTGAAACCAGACGCAGCAATCTGGGGAGCTTTATTAAATGCATGCAGGATTCACCATAATGTTGAACTTGGGGAGCTTGCTGCAGAGAATATCTTTCAATACGATACAACAAGTGTCGGATACTACATTCTTCTCTCTAATCTTTATGCTGACAATGGTAAATGGGACAAGGTTGCAGAAGTAAGAAAAATTATGAGACAGAATGGGCTAATAGTAGATGCTGGATGCAGCTGGGTGGAAGTCAAGGGCACAGTGCATGCTTTTCTCAGTGGTGATAACTTTCACCCTCAAATAATGGAAATAAATGCACTTTTGGAGAGGTTTTATAAGAAGATGAAGGAAGCTGGTGTTGAAGGGCCAGAAAGCAGTCATATGAACATAATGGAAGTTTCTAAGGCTGACTTATTTTGTGGGCACAGTGAGAGACTGGCCATTGTGTTTGGACTTATGAATTCTGGTCCTGGGGTGCCTATTTTGGTGACAAAGAATCTGTACATGTGCCAAAATTGCCACAACATTGTGAAATTTATCTCTAGGGAGGTTCGCAGAGAGATTTCTGTGAGGGATGCTGAACAATTGCACCATTTCAGGGGAGGCATCTGCTCTTGCATGAATGAAGGATACAGGAGTTAACCTGATTACCAGGGAAACTGTAAGATATGTAGAATCATGGTGAGAAATTAGAATTGAAAGAAATTGCTTCAATATCCATGCATATAAGATTTGAACATGACTTCACATATATGACAGGGTTTATTCCCATCAAGTACCAAAATGTTTTTATGACATTTAGTTAAATGAGACAAATGTTCATTATTTTGTAAAAACACGATAAAGAACTTGAAACCTGGGGCATGATTATGTAGAAAGAGAATGCCTTTTTTACGAGAACTTTCAGATATTTAGCACAAGGCAAAATGGAAAGTAGAGAAACTGGCTTTTTGCTGTAAAAATGAGCTGCTTTCTCATATTTGACAGGTAAATAACCTTGTAAGTAAATTTAATAATATAACGCATGTATTCTACAGACCTATTCCCTCTCTCATTTTTATCTTCAAAAGAAAATTTTCATTCCATCATCCAGCATCAGGTAATATAGTAGAAGTGTCGAAAAACTCTTAAGATATCTGTTCATAATTTCACTACTCTCTTGAAGTTGAGATTGGCTTGATAAATGATAGGTGAAAGCAGTTGTTGTTGGATTGAGCGCTTATCACTAAGACAAAAGTTATACCTATTAGTTAGAGTGCAATTCTTTCCACTTAAGAGTGTATCAGTCCAAGCGTTACGATTTAATTGTGACTCAGGTTCACTATTTCCATCACATGACAATTGACGCCATTTACAACACTTAAGCTTCCTAGCTACTTTCTAAAGTCACATAATTTTTTTGTCATCTTATAGATCAGATGGATTTCTGTACCTGTTAGCATGGTTTACTGTCTAGTGATCCGCATTTATTTTCCTATGAAAGATAGAAGTCATCTCAGTGTACTGTAATCTGTATTTCTCTCTTTCTTGCATGTCCTTCATTGGGTTTCTGGTGATAAAGATCAAGAACTTGGTATGGACTTTGCTTGGTTTCGGGCTTCATGAGTTGTTTGCAGCCAACAAACGTTCAAAGCATGCCTATTGCTAAAGTACAAAATTTTGTCTTGGAAAAAGGAAAAATAAACCCTACTTGTTCCAAAATTCAGGGGTGTTCATAAGTATATTGTGGTAGCAGCAATGCAGATTGTGTTTAGAATCAAAGATTCTCTGAACCCTTCAACGTCATTATGCTGGATTTCTAGCTCAACTGTCAAGGTAAAGTGATCTATTCCACTATGTTAGATATAAGATGATTGCTAGGCCTCCACCTAATAGCTACAGATTTTAAGACAATAGGTTCTTGACAGTATTCAGCTATATAATGTTCTTTCTTAATAGAATGAAATACAATGAGATTAAATAGTACAAGGTTTAGATTTTATCATAACTATACAATGTTCTTTTTAAACAAAACTTTATTAAATCTTTTGACAGATATCTGTTTAGCATATGCAATTTATGATTTGATAAAATACAGTGCTATTTGGCCAATATAGGTGTCTCCACCCTCTGGTTAGGGCTTTCATTTGATACATATTCTCTAATTTTAACAAACATCGCCTAACAAAAAGAAGCGTACATGTATACACTTAATAAAACATTGAAACTTAAAATTTCATATCCAAACAGTGTTGAATAGATAAACGTTTAAAAAAATGAATAGTCTGGAAAAGTTCGCCAAACAATATAATAAAACTTACAAACACTTTTATAAAATGAGCATTTAACATTTTATATCGTCTAAAGATTATATATTAAACGTTTTGCTTCCTAAACGATGCTTCTATCAACGAGCTGGCGTGTGCTAAAATGTTTTCAACACGCAATATGCTTAAACGATTACTAACGTTTAAAACATTTGTTGCATGTACGAAAAGTACTTCTTTGCTTGTATGTTTTGTTCTCTTTATCTGTGCAGATCATGAAGGTACAAGAATTTACTCAAATTCCTACACAAGATCGATAAAGACGTTAAGAGATAGGAAGACATTCTGAGAATGTTTCCTTAAAGCTTCAAGCTCTACAAAATCGTACAAACTACTTTTGTCAAAGTTATGATAAATCACTATAAACGTAGACCTAAGTCTGACTACCTACCTAAAAAGACTAACGGATCTTTCTCGAAGAATGTTATTTATAGATTATTGCATGAAGAGAAGACAAGAAATATACATGCATATAAACAAGCTTGTTATTACGCTGCATCTCTTTCTTTATATGTCTAACGCTTTCGTTTATAGAGAACATTTTTACAAGTCTTTCATATTTGCTTTATAATGAAACTTATTTTCTCTTTGAGTTATCAAATTTATATCTTGTTTGAAAAACCTTTTTGGTTGTTTTGTAAATTCATAAGTGAATTAAAACATTTGGTATGTAACTAAGTTGAGTTAAATGATCCAATTAGTTGACTAGTATTGAGACCAGGGTGATTGATACTTGTTGTAAAGTAAGAGTGTTAAAACTTGTATAATCTTTATTAAAGATTAGCAAAATCTCTTAACAAGTTACCTTATAAATGTTTTTCTAAACACTCTTTAAAACACAAGTGCCTCTAACAATTACTGCTAAAAGTTTTTAAAACACTATTCAAATTCCTCATTCAAATTCCTCTTTATAGTATTTTTCCAATGTTTCAACATTAACATTTTACTAGGTAATTAGATCTGAGTTATACTTTAAAAATATCTTTTTATTTAATTTTATATTTAAAAAATTTGATTTTAAATAATTTTATTTAAAATTAAAAAAATATATATATAAAAATATCTTCGGAATGCTTACCGGTATAAAAAAAAACCGTGGCAACTAAAATATCAATTTAAAACAGATATAAACAAATAACATTGTTATGTTAAAAAACTTATATCTATTCATTTTTTAAATTTAAAAACAATTATATCATAGTTTGAAATACAAATAAATTATAATTTTCTGTTGAAATTTAAAAACAATAAACATATTTATCCATACTCAAATTAACTTAATTTATCGATCATAACCCTAATCTACTTGCATCTAAGTCTACTTACATATAAATCCATCAATCATAACTATATTTCCCTTAAATTTGAATCGAGAAAGTGTGAATTAAAATAAAAATATTATACAGACACTTCATTGTAACGATGGGTTACAAGAAACATAAAATCAATCTTTTACTGGTGGGATCATAAAAAGTTCCGAATGCATCTTGTATCCATAAAACTGTGCTGTGGTCTTCGACTCTAAATTCACGAACACTTTTCAATAGTCTTGCAGTTATAACAGAAAAGATAATGTTAATTACAAAATCTATTATGGCATTTTATAGAACTTCATTCATACGTTAACCAACTCGAGCCTAATTAAACTGCAAACTCGAGATGACAAAGGTCTTCCAATGCTAATCAATTTTTTTCCTTTCATATAACTCAAAAGAACCAAGTTCCTTACCATTTTAATTGTCAGATGGTAGTAAAAAATGGTACAAATTTTGATGATAGCAAGTCTATGCAACAAAATCGTAGTAGAAAACTCCTTTTCATGGTGAGAAAAAGCTCCGGTTGGCAAACAAGTGGATCTCAGCAATTTTGGGCAAACAAATGCTGGATGACTTCAGTCAAACATGTGAGGAAGTGGTCTGACAGCCATAAATGCATCCACCATCTGAGAATTATGGAAAAAGATAATATTTAAGTTTAGCACCATATATACATTAATACAACCAACCATGATTTCGTAAAACAATTCCACCCAACCAAATATGTATGTAGTGCGAATATTGACCATATTCCGTCAAAATTTTGAACACTAATAAATGCTACTTTTTCAATTGTGAACACCCGGACACAAATACACACATATATTGGTGGAATGGAGGCAGCTTTTCAGTAAAAAAAATCTTATCTAAGAGTAAACAAGTTTCAGATGTTCTAGCAATATTCAACAATAAGGGTTTTCTTAATTCCAACCAAGACTTTCCTCTCACCCAGGTTAATAATTGGTTTTGGCAATACTCAAGATTATGCAATTAACAATCGAAATGTCAACTTATTTTCCCTGTATTATTATTTCACTCTTGTAACGTAGGAATCTATGCAATGACATCTATTATTGTTGAATGCATACCTCTTCAGTCACAGAAGCCCGAGCCCTACGATGTCTCTCCACTATTTCAGTCAAGACCTGAATTAGCCGTTGCTTTACCTCACCCGTTAGCATGCGCCCTTCTCCATATTCCTACAAGAGAATAACAAAACAAGTTAGGGAAAGAAAATCAAAGGGTTCCTCCTTATGCTATTTGTATTATTAAACAAATTGGGGGAAAAGGATAGAAATCAGACCTTTTTAATGTGTTCAAGTTCAGCATCATCTTCTAAGAAAAAAGTTAGGTATTTGATTGGTATATCTACCTGAATCATGCTACAAAAGGTCAAAATTCTTGGACTGTAACAGGAGGTAAAGACGGGAGCACTAAAAGAAAGGCAAAACAATTTATTAGACAAAAAAAGGGTTTAATCTTTCGTTTCAATTTTACTAGGCATATTATATAC